AGCTTGGCTGAGGAGGTGCTGCGAGCCCCAAGGATCGGAGCTGCGAGAAGAGTTTCGGGTGAAAAGAACGAGGAAACCCCACACGAGTCCTGGCACGACCCCGCTCCCGAGTGCGCCCTTAGAAAAGCATTCAGTGATTGTTTCTTTCTATGCCCAAATGTTCTCATTGTCACTGCTGAATACCAGTCTTGTAAGGAGAGAAACTTGGCCACAGCACACGGGAAAGAACCAGAAAGACTGCGTGTATCATAGAATCAACTAGACTGGAAAAGACCTTTAAGATGAAGCCCAACATTGCCCCAGGACTGCCAAGCAGAAAGGCACCGCTTTGGTGGCACTAACTGATCAGCTCTGCAATTAGTTCGCAGAGCTTTGTGGATCATCTCTAATGAGTCTGTGTGAACCACAAGTGAGCGTTCCACTCGCATTGCCTATTCTCTCCAAAGGCTTCCACGGTCTCAGATGTCTTTAACAGAGCAATTTGGCATCAGCTTTCAGGTGCTTTGTTAGCTTGGGGTTTTCTAAGCAGCAGGTTTATGTGAGGGCAGCTCGGGGAGAGGTTAAAGTGGGAGCTGGGTGCCTGGACAGCGCAGGTGGAATTGGTGCTGGTGCAGTTACTACTGCAGGACACGGACAGTGTGGGATCGTTCCTGGAAAACTGTTAAATCCACAACAAGCTGCACAAGCGTTAAGTGGCTGCGCAGTGGGAACACAGTGAGTTTTGTTTCTTAAGAAGGTGATTTTGCCCGGTCAGCAAAAGCTCTGGGCTTTGCTGGCAGGAATCAGGATGGCTCGTGGGGCCTCCCCGGCTGTGCCAGGATGAAGCAAATTTTACTGGTAAAAGAGAGGCGTTCGGATTAAGTGACCCTAGTGTGTTCAAAGCAATAATTCTGCCAATAACAGTAATTCTACCAGTCCAGAATTGCAGTGAAACCAAGTGAGCTTCACTGTGCTTAAATTCTGTCAATGGAAAGTAACAAAAATTTGCTAGAAGTAGCTCTAGCTGGTAACGTTAAAAACACCTGTAAGATGGGGCTCATGTTTCCTAAAGATCTTGACTTTGGTACAGTGAAACATGCTCAGGAAACATCCTCAGCTGCCCAGAGATAGAAAGAGGAGGCCAACTCCAAGTTAGAGAACTAGGACAAGTGAAATATTTACAACAAACAGCTGTCTTAATATTTAGTTTGGAATTCCAACTGTGCTCCAGTTTCATACCAAAAACAAAATGCAAAGTAATCAAATTCAGTTTCTGCACAAAACCACGAGTTAGTAAAAATGACCTGTTCAAGGTCAGCCTCATGCTGGAAGCTCTTGGGGATCCATTCTGTTAGAAAACGGTCACTCCTTCCTGTACAGCTCCCAAAAAAGAGGTAAAATGCCCCACATCAGCTTCTTCCCTGTCCTCCCTGCCGGTCCTGTCAGCATTTCAGGGCTGCCTGGGACCATTGCGACTGCACGTCTGACAATGCTGCTGTGTGCTGGCACTCTGTGGGCTGTGAAGGTCCTTGGAATGTCTTTGTTGCATTACTGCACACCCACAGGCATCACACTTGCAAAACAACATCGCTGTCACTTATTTTCTAGAAGAAAAAAATACCTAAAAATAGTTCAAGCCCGGTCTGTGTTGGGGAATGAAGCGTCTCAGGACACGAGTTGTGCCTCGGTGCTTTCGCTGCCTTTCTGTGTTCACTTCTTCAGTTAAAGAACTTCCCAGAGTTTGTGTACAACAAAACATTTGATAGTGAACCTAAAGCAATGGTGTGAGAGTGAAAACCCCGAGACACAGAGTCCATTTGGAAAGGGAGAGGTTACCAACAGCAGAGAAATGGTTTTAAATACCTGAAAATAAAAAGTCCCTTTTTTATGCCAAACCATACATACATGGCGTTAGAAACACAGAAGATGGGTAAAGATAAATACAGGTTTGATACTTCCTGTACCATCCTTCATGTGTAACCGAGGCTACAAACCCACTTCACAGAAATCAGCTAACTCAGGTTCATGTCCAAAGTTTTCTTCCCATTTGTCATCAGCTATTGTAGAATAGAAAAAGCTCCACAGAAGACGAGTGAGCATCTTCTCCTCCTGCAGACAGGCTTGGTATGTTTGGTCCCTCATGCCCAGAGCTCTGTGAGGCACCTCACTGCGTTGCTGGCGATTCACATGCCTCCACCAGTTCATTTCAGTCACAGGGAAAGCATCCAGACCCTTCATTTCTCCTCCCAAAGACAGGAAGTGGGATTAATTACAATCTGTAGACAGAGTAACAACTCATTGCTGTTCCAAATGCAGATTCACTTTGCTGAGGAGTCCCAGATCCACGTAAATGAGAATTCCATCGCTCTGCTCTTGCAGGGAGGATTATGAGTATTCCCAGCTACCTGTTCTGCATGTGGATGTCCACAGGTATGAAGGTCACCGTGGGATGCTGAGGCAGGCTGTGGCTGGGTTGCCCTAATGCAGGCGGCATTGCTGCTTTGGTGGGTTTGGGCTCCAGCTCCCGTTTCACTCTCATGCGTCTGTAAAGGCATAAATGAAATTGTCACCAGAGCTGGCACATGGTAAGTCTTGGGAAGGCTCCTGCAGAAGCAGGTTACATCAAACAGATTCTTAAAAGGCAATATCAAGACAGGATTTCATCCCAAAGATACTAAATGGCAACTCAGGGCTCCTGGAGTGTGTAAGTGTAACCCAGTGCCCTGAAAAGTGTGAAATCAAGCTCTTCTGGCAGCCATGATGCACACCACAGAGCTCCCTTGTGTCAACAGGGACCCCTAGAAACAGCTTCCATCACACATCCTCCATCAAGAACCTCCTCCTGCTTCCCAGCACTTTAATCACAGAACAGCAGCGGGGAGAGCCAGGGACTTCAGTCAAGCTAGCTTAGCATCTCCGGGAAACTTGCAGCAACCAGTACCGAAATGGTCCGTTAGGTGGAAGCACACTCAACAGTGACTTTGGTTCATCCTGTCTCGCCTCGGTGAAGTACAGAGCTTGGCACATACCTGTTATATGTTTTCAGTATGAGCAGAACCACTGTAAAAATAATAATCACTCCTACTACGATGGCAGCAACTATGGCTCCAGAGCCTGGCAGGGAAGCAGAAAGGGAAAGAAGTTTTATGTACAAGGTTGTCATTGTACGGTTTGAAGTTTGCAAAGTTCAAGGTCCGCTTAAAATAAAGCAAACACAGCCACCTCCCCAGTGCTTTTCTTACTCTGATAGAGGCTTTGTTCTTGAGACTTTGTAGTCACGTTTACCGAGAGCTGGGTGTTATTGACCAGTGGTGTGGGTGTCGTCATCTTGAGTCGGCTGCGGGAGAGAAAAAGAAAAGTGAGTTCATAAAACATTAACCAAAATTTGACAGTGAGAATTAGGCAACTCTCCATCAAAGATTCAGGGCCATTAAGTGCAGATTCACTGAAGTGGGGTTCTTCAGATTTCCTTAAAGGTGAAAATCTGGCTCTGCTGAAATCAGTGGAAGCTTTGCTACAACCTAGTCTGGAGCAACTTGCCTTAAAGCACACACTGCTTGGAATTAATAGCCTAAAATAAGATATAAACTCAATTATGCATTGTTATCTGTATATTATTTCTGTTATACAAGTTTTGGATAAATATGTATTGTAAATGCTTTAGGATTTCAGATTATCATTTTAGGTTGAGATTCAAATCACTGCGCAAGTACGCACAAAGAATTCAGTAAGGAGCCTGCACAGAAAGGCTTAAAAACTCCTTTATATGACAGAATTGAGTAGCTTCATGCACCTAATATGAAGAAGAAAAACCATTTAACCCCTAACTGGAAGCTCTAAAAGTTACATGACAAACACCACTGATCCATGACAGGGAAAGATTGCAGTGTGACCACAACGAAAAGGTGACGTGAGTTTGACCAGCACCTTGCTCGTGCTGGTGTCACCCCAGCCTGTTACTGGAGGAGGGCCAGTGCCCACGGCTGAACCCATGCCTGCTCCTGCATGTGGGGAGGAAAAACCAGCTGTAGAAAGAGCAGCGTGTGTGTTTGCTGATTTTATAAGCTTTTTCCAAATGTTTTCTAAATGTGACTAGTAACCTGAGCCATTAAAAGCCTCCTTCAGCCTGAGAAGCGCGTGATACCACTTCAAACAGAGCTCTGAAACCATTTCAGCTCCCAGCTTCAGAGAGCTCATGCACTCAAACTCCCCATCGAAATGAAACTATTCTTCAACACCTGATACTGGAGTTGAGTTTCCCCTTTTCAGATGCTGCCCAGTACAACCAGGCAGGACTCTGCCCTGCTCTGTTATGCTCCATTGGGATACTGTGGATCTGTGTCACGTTCTTAGCGACTTTAATTTTACACAGCACAGGAGATACAATAGCTGGGAAATCATTAAATGGACAGAAATCAGACGGTAAGAAAAAGAACTGGAAATCTGAAAGGCACTTTCCCTTCCCTCCCTTTTCCCCTTCTTGAGGCTTTCCTAAAGGTTTCTGCAAAGCAGCATCTATCAAACAAAACCCAGGTCATGGCAGGGTGCAGGTCTGGGAGGGAAGGAGGACACGGCTCTGACTGCTCCTGACAGGCGAGGTTGTTTCGGGGTGGGGAGGCTGGTGTCTGAGTCAACACATGGTGTGTACTTGGGAGGCTCCACGGAGAGAGATGAGGAATGAGAGAGGTCAGTAACCAGTAGAAAGGGACATGGTCAGCGTCTGCCTGGGGAGGGAGGATCGGAATTGCAAGGTCCATTCATCAAATACTTCGATCCCCTTAAGGTAGAAAGGTTCCATTTTTTTCTTTTAATTTAAAAAACAAAAATAACTTTGTTTTGAGCCTGTAACTGGGTCATTCTCCCCTGGCTGAATGATTCCTTTGTTTAGCCAAGGCCAAGTTAATCCAGCAACATGATCATCAACTGTAGTTGTAGATCCTTCCACGCTGAAAGAACTATTTTGTCTTTAGAGTTTGCCTTATTACATAGCACAGCAGAAGGATTCACACACACCTCAGAGGAACCTGGGCACCCATCTGCTTCCCACCCATCCACTCAGTGCAGGTTGTACCATCAGCAGAGGCTGAAGAGGCTCCGTCCTGAGCAAGTGTTTTGACTATGGGCATAATACAGAAAAAGCCACGTCCAGCTTTTACCTTGTTGCTCCTGACTAGAAGAGCACAAATTCCAGCGTTACAAAGGGGTTTTCTCCTCCTCCTCTGTATATTAAAATAAACCCCCCAAACAAATAAGGCTGAATATTTCAATATCAAGCCATGTCATACACATACCTCCTACCATCTGGTTCAAACCACCTCGGTAATGGTGAGCTATTTGTGCCTGAGTCACGCCTGTAACTGAAGAATTCTTGTTGTCAGTGAAACCACCCAGTGCAAAAAGGACGAATTTATCTGACAGGGTGTAACAATCCAGGATGTAGCTTGGAAACGGAATCAAATCTTTGGGTTTTCTGTGTTGTCCAGCAAGCCGAGAGGTCCAAGGTCTGTGTCTCAGGCTGGGGTGGGAGGAGCAGGTCCCCCCTTTACCTACAACCAGTCTCGGTTCCATCCCCCTCCCATCGATCAGCCAGACCACGCCTGACCAAGCCCACACTGTGCAACTCAAGGACCCAGCCAAGTCCAGCAAAACCCCTGGGAATCCCCCAGGTTCGGGGTATTCCCAGCTGGACCCTTTGTTTAGAAAAGCATTTGGGAAGTCAGGAGTGCTCAGTATAAGCTGTACAGCACAGGAGCAGAGATGGACTTTGATACGGCAAGCACACGACATTCTTTCTCTCTGACACATGGCACGCACTCCCCGTGCACACATCGGCCGGGGGGGCTTGAGAGCCTCCAGCTCACCCGCAGCTCTCGGCGCTGGGGCACATTCCCATGTTACGGAGCTGGAAATGTTTCCATAAAGTCAAGCTTTGGGCACATTTCCATCCCAAACACCCGGACACATCCACGAGAGGTTGTTTTGGCAAGCAGCAGCAATGCCCCCATTGATACACCTTCCACCTGCCCTGCCCCGTGCTTGGTGCTCACTCACATGGATCAGAGCTCGCCTGTCAAGCGGCCCCTGCACTTACAGGAGAGGGGAGGTGGGGAACAGAGCCTCTGGTCTGAGCTTTTTCCAGGAGAGCTGCACTTTGGGAGCCAGCTCCCCGCAGGAGGCAGGTGCTGGGCAGGAAGAGGCACCAGTGCTTTGCCGCCTTGGAAGCGGGGTCTGCGTCGAGCTGTGCGCAGGCTTTAAACCACACACAAATCAGCTGTTGTTTCCCAGCAGGAA